TGGTTGCAGTTATAAATTTATCAATATTGTCATCTATTTTGCGTAAACAAATAAGTTGATCCTCAAAATGTTCAAAATAATCGCTATTATACAAACAAGTATCTATAACATTCCTTATATTATAAAGATGTTTTATTAAATCCTCACTTTTTTCTTCTAATTGCGGAAAAGGTTTTCTATAGCCCATCAATACTATAATAGCTAGTACCGCAATAAGTGTTATAATTCTATATATTATCGTAGTCCTAGTATTAATTTCCATTTTTTATATGTTTGTTAAGTTTAATAATTGAAAATATTAAAAAAAAAAATAAGCACGCACGCCATTTCATTGTTTTATTCTTAGCTTGGTGGGAGGTACGAATACACAAAAGAAACTGTCAGGAGATTCCTATTAGTATTTTAAAAACTCTTTTCTCATTGGCTGGCGAAGGATGTTTATGGGTGGAGCTCCGGTTTTCAGGTTTGTCTATTCTATGATGTATTGTAAATATCAGTTTGTCCTGTCTGTGTGGATTGAGAACATTGTTAAGATATTTCGTCCAGTGCAAGTAAGTAATAATACTAGTATAGCTTTCAATAAGCTATAAAATTTATATTAATTACAACTGCTAAAGAGCAGCCTAATCATTTTTATTTTTCTCTACAGAATAATTATCGAAGATGGTTGCTACATATAAAACTATGTATGCTGCACGTTCATTTGTCCGTGTTCCAGGAAGTGGAATTACCAAAGTAGCAGCGAAGAAATCAAAATCTTTATGCTGGGATCTTGCACGTTCCTCAACAGTTGCTGCAGCTATCACAGTTGAACCAATGTTACCATCTGCAATATCAATAACAATAGAATCTTCAAAATTAATCCAGAAAGATGGACAAACTGAGAAAAAAAATGAAACTCAGGAAAGGTCGTACGGGGATCAAAATGCTGCTGCTGCTAGTAGTAGCAGTGAAGTTTATAAATTAAAACAAGAGCTTGATAATGTAAGACTACAAAATCAAGATCTTCAAAAGCGATTACAACTATTTCATGACCTGTTTAATGACAAAAAGCGATTGGTAGTTATGGTCAAGAATTGGGTATCAGAAGATTAACAACATCTCTACCTCTACAGGCAAAGAGTATTGGGTTTTGGATTTTATATCTATAAGTGTAACAAAGACTATGTTTTTTATTTCTTCTCTCGAAAGAAAATGTTATATAATTAATATTTCTCCATCTTCATTTTCTGATTGATTATTATTGGTATTACTACTATTTGTTATATTAGTTGGAGTGGTGGTGAGTGTGGCGGGTATATCAGTGGATTGTTGCATAAATAGTGGTGGGTGTGATTTTAGTAATACATTTTTATCAGGTATTATTAATTGATTAGAATCATCACTTAATTTATTTAACACATTAATATTTAAATGCCTATACCGGCGACTCGCTGCTAAATTAGCATTAACCCCCCAAACTAATTCCTTATCTTTCAAAAAACTTTTTGTATAATACTGGTCAGTACTTATCGTATTCTCTTTAATCTCTTCTGATTTATCATCCCCACTTTTATTACCCTCTTCTTCTTCTTCTTCTTCTTCTTCTTCACATTCTCTATTTATAATTTTATCTGTTGTATTCCCTTGATTTACATAATGAGAAATAAACTCCTTATAACTAGAATGACCTAATATTTCACCTATAATTTTTAATGGCATAATTGTATCCTTTGACATTTGTTGTGATAACATATTAAAAATTCTAGTTGCATAATCAGCTCTAATAGAATGTAAACCAGCACCTTTGAGTTGTTCTTTTTCAGTTTCATAATTTGATTGTTGTTTAAATTTTCTATTCACAGCAATTAAATGTAAGGATTTTCTAAATATTTTTTGTGTACTCTGATAACTTACATTAAATATCTTATCATTCAAAAAGGGCAGAAATGACTTGTTTCCTTGTGTTTTTGCATTTAATTTAAATTCTAAATATGGTATTAGATACTGTGTAAAAAAATAAAGGGTTCACCATGAAATATAGGAATATTTCGGTCTTTTCCTTGTTTTCCGTAATAAATGGGTAAAACAATTGACTCTGATTGAGGATTATAACTGTCTATAATATTTTGATAGGTTAATTTTTCAGTTTCCTTAGCTCTTAATCCTGTATGATATATAAGAATTAGTTTATAAATATGGTCTCTATTAATACGGCTGTTATTCCAAATGTGAATAAGAGTCTGAGAAATTAGAAGACTGTCGAGAATTGGTTTATTATTTCTCCTAAGACTACCACATAACTTTGGTAGAGCTAATTCTACCCCTAGAATAGGACCAATTAAATATTTATTTAATGTTCGTATATTTGTTTTTCTTGTCTGAAATTTAATCTTACCATCTTGATTGAGGTATGTGTTATAATCTTCAACTATTACTGTAGTTAATAATGCCTTCTTTCCTAGTTTATCAACTTTGAATCGTCCAAATTTTCTTATAATACTTTCATAGTTTCTTAGACTAACCTGTTTAAGCATACGAGTTCTACAATTGTTCTTTTGGTACGAGGATTTATATATGGTTTATTATATTCATTTTGGAGACGATCTATATCATTTTCATTAAAATAATTTTTTAATTCTTGAATAAATGTATTTTCCATTTATATATTTTTTATTTTATATAAAATTATTTATTTGTGAATAATATTGAAGTTTTATATTTTTCATTTTTATTCTATATTAAAAATAGAATAACAAAAATGTATATTAAATATAATAAAAAAGATTATGATGTAGAAGTAAGTGATGGAGATGAAGATGGTGATAATAAAGATGATAGTAGTAATGAAGAAGACGACGATATAGAAAAGATAAATTCTATTAAAGAAAATGTAGATTCTAGTAGTAAAGAAGCTGGTGAAATAGATTCTGATAAAGAAGTAATAGATTATATGAATATAGTTTCTAGCAGTGAAAAAGGTGGTGGTGTTGAAGAAGAAGAATATTCTGAAAATGGTAAAATAGATTCTAGTAATATAGTTTCTAGCAGTGAAAAAGGTGGTGGTGTTGAAGAAGATGATTCTGAAAATGGTAAAATAGATTCTAGTAATATAGTTTCTAGTAGTGAAAAAGGTGCTGGTGTTGAAGAAGAAGAGGAAGAAGATTCTGAAAATGGTAAAGAAATATATTCTAGTAATATAGTTCCTATTGAAGGTGGTGTGAAAAATTAAATATTAGATTATTAAAAGATTATAATTAATAAAGATGGTAATTTTATTAGAAGATTCTAGTGTCGGTGTCGGTGTCAATAATGTAAGAATATGTAGCAGAAAACGAAGATTTTTATCAGGAGGAGAAAGAGGAGGAAGAAGAAGTAATGAGGAAAATGAAAGCATAACTATAAAAGAAGAACAACTTTCTAGTAGTGGAGAAGATGGTTTACAAAGAAGGAACAAAAGAGCAGTAGAAGAGGGAAGGACAATAGTAGAGAGAGGAGGAGGAGGAGGAGGAGGAAGTGGTACTGGTGATGATGAAAGTGATGATGAAGAAAGTGATGAAAGTGGTGATGATGATATTTCTAGTGAATTAAAAGAATTAAAAATATCTAAAATAACAAATTTAATTAATTCTGAAATATCCCGTATATTAGTAATAACAATACTCGTACTAATTATATTAGCTATGATGAATTTACATTGGTCTTTCCTTTATATTATAATATTAATAATATTTATAATGAAACCAGTTATTAGTAAAAACATAGCAATATTATTACTAGATTATTGGGAAATTGAAATATAAATTTTAATCTATTTACACATTTTTAATAATAAATAATAGTACAATCAATTATTTTTTTTTTACATTATTGTAAAAATGTACAAGCTAATTTGGCCATATTATCTACATAATCATGTTCTTTTAATCCAATATGTGCTGGTATCCACAAAAAATTTATTTTAAATTTTTTGTACATGTTACTATAATTATCTAAAATGTATTGTAATCCACTACGAGAGTCACAAATAATTAAACCATTACATTTATTGTAAACTAAATAATTTATAGCATCCTTAATTCCTTCCAATTCACAACTATTACAATCAATCCAATTATTCAGACGACGCATTTGGGTTGCAATACATTTATTATATTTGTAAACAATATAGGCACAACCAGCTGTTCCATCCTGTTGTACAGATCCATCAGTATATATAGTAACTAACTCAGTTGTACTGCTGGAAAGTTGCTTGGTAAGTCGACCAATTTGTTTAATAGTATTTTTCTTCTGTATATGTTTTGGATTAAATTTATTCGTCCTAGTATAATATACATTTTCAGTTGATTTCATTATCATTCTTCTTTTCTGAAAAAAAAAATGTATTTCACAAACAAAATAAATAAAGCTACAGCCTTAATCTTAGGAAAAAAGTTTGCAGTTTTGCAACAATGGTCTTTCGTCTTTCGGATCTAATGAACTCTTCAACATGGCTACAACATGCCTGGGTAAATGGGAAAGGCAATGCTTCTTGTAGTAACCTGTCTCTACTTGTAATCCATCTTTAGTCATAGAAAACCATATGTCATAAGGTTTGTTGTACTTATTAGTAATGATTGATTTCCAGAAAATTTTTGCGTCCGTCAAAGGTAATATAGATCTCTCCGCTTCCTTGACATTCAAAACCAGTATAATCACAACCGGTGAGTATTTGTATGTAAATAAGGCGGTCGGTCATTGTACACAATTCTACCGACAAATTCAAAATCTGTCCATGGTAAATGTAAGTAATAAAGACAATCGATCGACTTCCTCTAAGTTAATCTTGATATTTTCCAGTTCTTCGTCCCTCCACTCACACATTTCCCAGGGTGAGGTCCGTTTGTCTAACGTCTGTCTTAATAGATTAAGACAGTCTAATTACTAGTAAATATATTGGACGATGATTTTAAAGTTAAAATGAATAGAAATAATATTAAAATGAATAGAAATAATATTAGTGTTTTGTTGTAAAAAAACAAAATAAAACAGTGTACTATATCGTGTCTGTCTTGTCTTTCTTACAGCCAATGTTAAACTAACTAGCAACCCAGCGTCAAGCAAGTTGCCACCACTTTTTACCAAATTTTTTGAATTTTATATTTTTTTTATTATATTTTTTTTTATAATATATTTTTATTATCATCTTGTAAATCTGAAATATCTGAATCTAAAATTTCTTGTTGTTTGTTAATATTAAGTAGATCATTCCGTTTTTGTGGAAAAGCATTTTTCCTTTTACGTTTTGATGTTGAGGAGGACGACCACTTTTGCACTTGAGGAGAAGGAGTTTGTATGGTTGGAGGTAATAATTGCTTTGAATTCCTTTTCTTTTTTTTTAATCCAAATATATTAATAAATGGTTGAATTTTCTTTGTATTGGGAGGTACTTTTGTAGTAGTTGTTGTGGTTGTAACAGTGGATATAATACAATTATTTCCTTTTCTTTTTTTAAAAACTTTATGTTTTTGTTGTTTTTTATACTCCTCCTCTTCTTCCTCTTCTTCTTCCTCCTCTTCTTCTTCATCTTCATCTTCTTCCTCTTATTCATCATAATCTCTTAAATCATCTATCTCTGTATCTTTATCTTTATCTGTATCTTTATCTTTATCTTCTATATATTTTTTATCCTCATCTTGTATTTTTGAGGATTTATTCTTTTTAGGTGGTTGAGTCATAAACATTGCAGATTTTATTTATAAATTTATTCAAAAATAAAGTTTCATTTTTAAGCAAAACTTAATTTTATAATATCTAATGGGTTAGGATAAATTGTATCTGGTCGAGCCCTACAAATTTGTTTAATATTTTGGGGATTTTCAGTACATAATAACACCTCATAAATCATTTCGTCTTCTAAATGTGAATAATTATATTCAATAAGAGAAATTGATTGAACTCTGTATTATATAATATAGGCTATTCATTTGTCGAATAATGCTAAAAATATCCATTCGTTCAGATGCTTTAAATTCAGAGGATACTATATCTACAATTGCTAAAGGATTATATTTATGTTGATTTGTTTTATATAAATTAGTTTCAACTACAAAAAGAAAATCAATTAAAATATGAACAAGGTAGTCATTCAATAAATGAGTATAAGATATACTTGATATTTTTGTAGTAATACAAAAATGTTGTTGTGAAAATTGTAAAATACCACATTGTCCATCTAATTTTGGAAGTCTATATTTAAGAATTTTTTTATCATAAATTTTTGGGGGAATTTTTAGATTTGTACTATTAATATTATTATCCAAGACTTCATTTTCCTCCCTTATGTGAATAGGTGTACTATCCTTATGAAACTGTTTCATCTCTAATGGAATGGGACTAAGAAAAGCATTTAGTCTCCACGAAGCATGCCAATATAAAGTTCCTGGGCGTTTTGTTTCTAAGGGGACTCCCTCTGAATTTAAAAGGAGGGGTGGTCCCGTTTTAATTTCACTCAAGTTTTCATTTTCCAAGATCATAGGAAAAATTCTAGTATGGTCATTAGGTTTATAACGATGGTAAAGGATAGTTTTTGTTTCATAATCGTGCAGATATGTTGTTTTTACACTTAAACTGGTACCTTCTAAAAATGTAGCTAATCCAATTAATTTAGGATCAATGGTGTCACCATCACCATTAGCGCTTTCCCAAAGTTGTATAAAATAACTATTTTGAAAAACTTTTCCTTCTAAATTAGTATATACAATTTCCAAAGTCTGTGTATCTCTTCGAAATATAAGTGATTTATCTTTATTTTTTTTATATTGTATAAAAAAACAATTTTTATTAGGATCAATTATTAAACGATAATCATTTTCAACCATTTCTAAAACACGAGAAATGTAATTAGACCTTGGTGTTGATTCGCCTGGTGTACCATTTAATCGCACTTGAACTAAAGGGTGGGTTATATCAACAAAACGCCGACATTCTGTTTCTGTATACATACTCTCTATTGTGTCCTTATAAATAATACTATTTGGATTGTTAATTTCTTCCATAATTGCTGTAAAACATATTGGAATCTTGTGGTGGGATAAATTCCTATCTGACATAACTGTCACACTTTCAATGCTAATTGCTACATATAATTTAGCCTCATTTTTATACATTGAGTATTTTTGTGATGTGTAACCTTTCAATATTTCATCTCGGAGTTGTATCCGTTGAGATATAGTACAAATTAATACCTCATCTAATATTACTGAAAATTGAGCTTTTCGTCGATTCATTATTGTGATATATTAGAGGAAATCCAATCAAATAAATATTTATTATTACTTTCTAAACACTTTAATTTTGTTTTAGAGGCGGTTGTGTTATTTCTTGAAAAATATTCTAAAATAAAATAATTATCCACATATTCTGTTGATAAACTGTTTATATCTTTTAACTTATAATTATAAAAACTTTTTAAAACTGGGATTTTTTTTTTTAATACTTTCAATTTATTAATATTTTCAATAAACTTTCGTTTTTGGGTATTGTCTAAAATTACTTTTTCTCCCAAAATTTCTAATATACATATTTGCCTTTTTAATTTACTTGTATGGTCCTTATTACCCATTTCTAATAATAAATATTCAGCTATTGAATCTAAAACATGAAATAAGAATATATTGGTAGAAATTATATTTTTCATTTTATTAATTATTGAAATATCTGTAATATTAAATTGATCTATAATTTGATCGATAATATTATTAATTTTATTACTAAATTTTTGGTTAATGTTCATTTTTCTAATTTATATTTTTTTATTTTTTGAATAAATTCCCCAAAAATATTTATTTCTTCTATAACGGCTCCTTTTAAGAAGTTTTTGTTATTTTTATTTATAGTTTTTGTAAACGCACCAATTATAGATGTTGGTGCATATCCAATAAGATGCATACAACCGTAGTTATGAATTAATCGCGTTATTTCTACAGAATGTTTTCCATATAATACTTGAGTTTGACATAATCCATATGGATTCATACAGGAAGGATGACTTAAATTATCTATAATATCATTTTTTGTTTCTTCAGTCTCCTGGTTATTATTTACTACCCCAATATTTTCTCCATTATTATTACAATCAAGATTCGTTTTATTTTGTCGATAATAATTTAAAGAAAGACGGGGGGTTACAATGTACTTATTATTTTTTTCATTTTTAGTAATAGGATACTTTTTTTTAGTTGTTGTTGGCGG